CTCAACTCCATCTACTACCAGTTTGGAGATCAGGTTCTTCCTTYTCYTGCCATCTRCTAGAGAGTGGAAAAACCTAGTGTTTCTGTCCCCCTCTTGCACCCATTTACACCGAGATTTTTGTATCCAGCTAACTTCCTCCTTGTGCAGGCAGTCCTCTAACTGTCTTCTTAAATCTCTCTTGAGCTCATTGTCTTCCTCTCCAAGTTCTCCCCTTTCTTCTTTAGAGTCAAGGCTTTTAATCTTATCCAACAGATCTCCCTTTCTTTTTTCTATCCTCCCAAACTCCATCAGATTCCACTCCTTGATTTTTTCTTTCAAAAATTGAAGTTTCTTATGGAATTTCATCCCCTCCCATTCCACCAATGGGTTACACTCATACCACCACTCCCTCACTTTGTTAGTAAACCCTGGGTAGAGTAACCACATATTTTCAAATCTAAAGGGGGAACTTCTCATGTGCTTCAACATGGCCTATAACATATTCTCATGTGCTTCAAATGGTTTAGTTCATTGAAACTACCAATTTTCATTGCTAAATTTAATATGCCAAAAACCCCTACATATTAAATTTCAGCCCAAAACACCTCCATTTACCCTCAACCATACCAAGATTCCATTTCAAGGCTCTAGATTGACCGGATTCCGAATGCGCCCGATCCGAGCACAATTGGCCCAATCTAACCTTACCAATCACCGCAAACTACCCAAAAACCCTACCCTATGAAATTTCACCCAAAACTAACCTTATTTGCCCTTCCATCAAACCAAGATTCTGTTCTGGATCATCCCGTTGACCCAAACCCTACCAATTACCTCAGACTATCCAAAAACCTTACCCTGTGACATTTCACGCAAAACTGCCTTCCTTTACCCCTTCATCAACAAATATTTTGTTTCAAAACTCCAAATTGTCTTAATCACACTCCTTCCATTTTTACACAATTCGGACCCATTTGGCCCAATCCACCCCTAGCAATCAACTCACAATGTTCGAAAACCTCACCTTGTAGAATCTCAACCAAAAACACCCTTGTTTGCCCATTCATCTAAAAATATTCCATTTCGGCTAATCCCATTAGCCCGTACACACAAAACCCTTCTCTGCGACCAAAACTCATACAGGCCCTCTAATCTTTGACCCAAAAATCCTAATCATCCATCAAAAAACCCCAGTTTGACCCCTGAACCCGATCTAACCCAAGTCTCCTAAAATTACAAAAAATGCCCCTTGGACCACAAGAAATTACAAAACTGCCATTATAACCTAATACCTGAGCCTTCTTTCTTTCATTCGAAGGGCACTGTTTATCGTCTACCTCTCGATGAGAGCAGGCCAGCAACAGCGCCAAAAATCTCATCCACCTAACTCCTTTATTCCTTCTCCACCATACACCTTTTCTTTTCCTTCTTTCTCCCCTTCCACTGTCCTCTCCGGCCATCGTTTCCCTATTCATCATCTTTTCTGGTAAGAGTGGACGTTTTGCAGCAGTGGCAGCGCATCTTTCATGCTCTCATCAGCTTCAGCATACATCCAACCCTTATTCTCAATGAGATTTGAGCAAGGAAGTTCACTCTTCTTCGGAAACCTTCGTAGATCCACGCTGAATCCTCATTCTTGCTCAAAGACAAGTTAACCAGCGCCCGCAACCGACTGAAAGTTCCCCTCTTTCGCTGATTAAGTGCAGACTAAACTCTTGTCCAGGTATATTCCATTCTCAGAGTTCTTTCCCTAGATTTTCTTTCGTTATCATTTGCATTTACTCTAACATCGGCACTGAAATAATTGATATCTGAAAGATCGTTAGAGCCGGTGATGAGGCTTTTGCCTAACTGGACTCTGCAAACTCTTTGCCACCAATCAGTCTCATCATATTTTCTATTGGTGGCATTCTGATTGTCACGCAGACTTGTTTTTAGAGTAGGATATATCTTAGTAGTTCAAAGTTCCTCTTTAGCATTCTGTTATCAGTCTTTCTTGTTAGTGATTACAGCAGCTCCATTTTTTTTGTTTCATTTTGTTTTTCTGTGTGACTATGTTCTGATCGAGTAAAAAGGCTGTTGAGCCTCGAAGTCTAGTGCTTTTTTTGTTCTAGCTGCTTGTTGGAATGAATTTTGTTGTGCTTGATATGTTTCAAAGTTGGCATAGTTATGATACTTTCTTCATTTTTTCGTGCAGTGATTAACTTAGAATAGGTAAATTATTGTTACCTCAGTTCCATGAATACTTATTTTTTAACTCAATGATTATCTGATGCAGATTCTAGAGACCGGGTTTAAGATGTTGGGTCAAGTTGAGATATCCTGCCAATGGTACCGGGCTCAAAGAAGACTGTGATGTCTGTAATGTTAGACCCCGGTAGTAGAAACTTATTCAATCATGAATATATATATATATATAATAATAACAAATGATAAAAAAATGATGATGAAAGAGGAACAAGTGCAAAATGTTTAAAAAAAAAAAGACGTCGGCGAATTAGAAGAGGAGATCCGATTGAGTGTTTCTTTGAATTCGAGGGAAGCATATGAACATATAAAACAAAGAGGAAGGAAAGAAAGAGAAGATAGAGAAGGGAGATCCCCAGTTTTGAACCAAGGCTGACAGAAGGGTATGTTTGATATGAAGGAAAAGGTAGGGAAAGATAGGGAAACCAATACAAGATTTGAAAAGGTCACCCTACCTTTTACTTCCTTTCCCTACATTTTCCTTCAAACCAAACATAGCCGAAGGGGATTAATTTCGGCTACAGTGGGGTCAGATTCAAAAATAAAAAAATTAAGTAAAACAAAAAAATATGTGTATACATAATAACTGGGTCCGGGTGATTTGTTTGGTGAGTAGGATATATATCCAGAATAGGAACAAGAAAGAGGGAATAAGTTACTTAATTACCAAAAGGGAAAGAATGAAAAATATGAAGCAGAAAAAAAATAAAAATATATAATAAAAGAAATAAGAGGAGAGAAAAATGTAAAAAAAAAGTAAAAAAATATATAAAGTAATAATAAAAATATAATAGGTAATACTAAATAAAAATATAATTAGGGGAATTCTGGCTTGTTCTTGATTTATTTTGCTTTATTAATTACTAATTGCTCTTATTTAGTTGAGGAATCATGTTCTTGTGTTTGAGCTTGTTCAGAACCCCATGTGGGCTCCACCTATTGGACCCGGGAGAGGGGTGCCAAACCCCTTCCCTCTCCTATCTGAGTCTTACCCGAACTGGTTTAACTAGTGCCTCAGACTATTGGAGTCACTATTGAACCAAATTGATTTTGATACTATTCACGAAGGTCCCATCACCTCCATTTCCTAATCTGATGGGTGGCGACTCCAAATCCAGCCCAAGTGAGCCATTTCCCGATGCTCACAATGGGTCAATAGGTGGATCAGAGATGGAGATCTAGAATTATAAGCTTCTAGCCAAACAAGGGAGGTCTAAAGTGAAATTTGGTAGGTAAATATTTCAAAATGTCAGTGGTTTATTGTTGGAGTTTGATTGGTCAAAAGTGGTGGTAAAGAACTAATCTTTGTTGTTTGATTAGGGTCAAACAAAGGGAGGTTCAAGGTGAATTTTGGCATACAGCATTTCAAAGTGTTCAGAGTTTTGGGGGTATTGCTTGATTAGTCCAAAGAAGAGTCAAAAGAATGATTTAGGGTTGCAAATCCTTGGCCAATGAAAAGGGATGAAACAGAACCCAGGCCAGATGAAAGGTCAAATGAAGAAAAAAAAAGGTTAAAGATTATACAACCTTTAAAAATTTAAGTCAAAAGAATGATTTAAGTGAGCTTAAGTACCTTGAATTAGAACATTTAAGACTATAACTTAATGATTATACAATCAGTATACTGGTTTTAATTCAAAATTCATTATTACATGACACAGTAAATTACAATTCATGATTAACAACAAAGTGCCATTAATGAACCAGCTAGAAAGTGCATCTAACAACAAACAGAATAGAAAAGGGTTCAACACAATATAGGCACAAAAGGAAACCCAAAAAAACGACACATATTAGACTCCAAAACAAGTGAAGCTACATGAAATTTGTGAATGCAGCATACCATCTAAGACCATATCACTAAACTCAGTTTTTTAAGTTATTTAGTCCAAGCAATCTTAAGGAAACCAAGGTGGTGTGTCATCAAATTCATAGAAACCTTGTCTCCTAATACTAAACTTTTAAACCTACACAACCAACAGATACCCAAAACACATTAAAACTAACTTAAACGGACCATTAGAAAGATAAATACTTGTCAATGATTAAAACCTTAAATATCACTGGTTCGGAAAAAAAAGGAAGGAAATCCAAACAGCCCAATATTTTCATTCTCTCCTCAACTACTGCATACCTTAAATCTTGAAGCAACAGAAGAAAACTTGTACGATGATCTTGAAGATTCCTCTGGAAGGGAAGGGAAAAGACCAGAAATGAAAGAGCATTTTGATGAAGACAACAGATTGCAGTGTTCTACCACAACATAGTCTCTATTTTTATCTAGAAAAGAATCCGTTTGATAAGTAACCTACAAGCAAGTACAAAGTACAAAAATTATAACCAATAGTACTTCACCAGATGATAAGAGAGTTCTGCAAAGTATTAGGATTAATAACATGCCTTCCCAGCATAATGGGAAACAGTAAAATCTGTCTCTGAAAACTTTGCCTTTTCCAATCTAGGGTGAGTTCGGAAGCTTTGAAACAACCTTGTAGAGAATGTTTCATGCGTTGATTTTGGAAACATGCTGCATAAACAACAAAATCTGTATAAAATGCATTTGAGCTATGATTGCAGATTAAAAGTTCACCAAATTTGAGTTGAACTTTTCATATACCAGGCTTCATCCAAAAGAGCAATTATTCCAATGGGTTTCTGCAAAAACATATAGAAAAGAATTTGTAAAGGTGAATGAAATAAAAATATAAAAAAGCACAAGACATAAAAATATGGCAGATGGATCAGCTATTAATTAAGACTCCAATAACAAGAACTACCAAAAAAATCTAATAAATGCCATACTTTTCCACCAATAAAGTTAGATACCAACATCTTGGTTGATAACAATTAACTTACCAAGATAGAAGCAAAATGCAAGACATTTTACATAGAGTCCCCTAAATGGACAACATGTCCATCTCATACTAAACATTACAGATTGGAGTCTGACACACCATGGATTCTTGAGGACTTATACACGCATTTCCCTTATATGTCTAGTTTATTTGACATAAATGAACAGCTAATGTACAAAATCAATGGCATTTTTTGTATCAAACATTCCTTTGTAATAAAGGGAACATTTCATACCCCTATTTGCGGTTATAAAAAACGATAGAACTCAAAAAAGGAACTATTTTAATAGTATATACTATTCCATAGATGTTTCCACAAATCCATGTTTCTCATCTTGCACAGTCAAACCTGAGGACAAGTGTTAGATTACAACTCCCATGTCTATGTCCACGCAACACTGAATGCAAGCCAACCCCATATAATTGTGACAAGGCTTAGTTCAGTTTAGTAATAGAAAAATAATGCAATGGTTAAAAAGCAGACAACAACAACAACAAAAACTGAAAAGTCAACTGAAATTTGCAATTGTTAAAATGAAACCACTACCACCACCATCGTTATCATTAGCACAAAAGTAGTATGCCCTAATATATACACCCAAATAAAGATGAAACTAGATCTATTTGACCAGAAGGAAATCTATATGGTACCCAAACAAACAAAAGCTTTAAAAGTTAACAAGAGGTTTTGTTGATCCAGTTCCTAAAACAGGGTTGTGGCAAGTGATGATACCAAGGCTTTAGCTGAACCCATTCAAGAGATTCAAGAAAATGTCTAACAGAAGCTGAAAGAATACAACCAAAGCTATAAAAAGGCTAAGGATAAGCAACATCAGATGAAAGAGGTTCTTTTTGGGACTTACCATAAGTTGAAGTAGAAACGGATTGGCCCATGTCAAGTGCTGAGACAATTTTAATGTAACAGACCTCTTTGATCATCATGGAGGTCTAGAGCCAACAACAAATGCTGATCAAGGACAAAAAGAAGGGCCAACTGTTCTAATGAATTTGAACAAGTAAAAGGGGAAGAAGATGTTTGAGTCACCAGCACTCGAAATGGGGGCCTATTTTAGGTTCTCGGTCAAATGGAGAGAGAAACCAACAATTGAGAACTTTTGAATTAGTGAAGAAGAGTATATGAAGCTAGATGGAAACATGTGCAAGCATGCTAAAATTGCTGCTTGCATGGGGTCGAGCTATTTCTAACCCAATAGGAATAATGAGCCCAAAAAAAGAGGGAACAAGAAGAAAAAAAGGAAAAAAGAAGAAAAAACAAAAAATGTGAATATATTCTGAATTTGTATGTTTTTTGTGGTAAGATCCCAATTTGTTGTTCTAGGGACTTATGTGTAAATATATTAGTTGGCTTCTCCAATCTCCAGCAAGCCATTGAGTCTTATAAAAGCGATGGTGGTTGTTTCTGCAGAGGTCTTTTTTGGTTGTTTCTCTCTTGTTTGAGTTGTATCTTAGCCCCAGCTAGGGTTTTCAAGTATTGGGAGCTTGGGTTTTGAGGAACCAACCCATTTGGAACTTTCCAAACCCTCCATCGATGTGTACCGCACAAGAAGCCAGCTTGACGCCATTTTTCTTGCAGCAGAATCGTTCCATGAAGAGTTCTACATCAGGTTTCTTGACAGTAAATCCGATTGAAGATTACGACAGAAGAGGAGAGAAGAGAAGAGAAGAGAAGAAGGAAGAAAGGAGAAGGTTTAGAGGCAATGGAACTGTGTTGGCGGCGCCAGCTTCATTAGAATATATAGGGCGAAAAAAATAAGAAGGGAAATGACCCTTGTGCCCCTACTAAGTAAAGTTGCAATAACATATTAAAATAAAAAAGCTTTAATCAACCAAACAGACCCTAACAAAATAAAATCAATTATTTCAACACTCCCCCTCAAGTTGGAGCATAGATGTCAATCATGCCCAACTTGTCACACAAATCTTTGTGCCGTACATGATGAAGACCTTTGGTGAAGATGTCTGCAAGTTGTTCTTCTGAGCTGACATATGGGGTGCACACTTCTCCATTTACAAGTTTCTCTCTAACAAAATGCTTGTCCACTTCAATGTGTTTCGTCCTATCATGGAGGACTGGATTAGCTGCAATGTTGATAGCAGCCTTATTGTCGCAATAGAGTGACATAGGGTTGCTAACTGTAAAACCCAGCTCTACTAACAGATTTCTTATCCCACATGATTTCAGTAACTCCATGAAACATAGCTTTGTACTCTGCTTCAACACTAGATCTAGCCACCACACTTTGCTTCTTGCTTCTCCATGTGACTAGGTTTCCCCCTACAAAGGCACAATATCCACTGGTAGACTTCGGGTCATCAACAGCCCCCCAATCAACATCAGTATATACTTCAACCTTTAAATGTCCATGTTTCTGGAACAGCAAACCAGCTCCAGGAAACTTCTTAAGGTATCTGAGGATCCTCTCTACAACTTCAAGGTGAGTTGTCTTAGGGTTGGGCATGAACTGACTAAGGACACCCACTACATAAGCAATATCAAGCCTGGTCATAGACAAATACAAGAGTCTCCCTACAAGTCTCTAAAACTTCTTCACATCTTTCAAGAACTCTCTCTGACTATCTCCCAGTTGATAGTTAGGCTCAATTGGTGAGTCAATTGGTCTCGCCCCTAGTTTGCCTGTATCTTCTAGTAGATCTAGTACATATTTCCGTTGGGAAATAAAGATGCCCTTGTGAAAGCGAGCACCTTCAATTCCAAGGAAATAACGTAAGGGGCCTAGATCTTTCACCTCAAATAAAGTGGCTAAGAACTTTTTTAGTCTATGTATTTCAGCCTCCCAATCTCCAGTGATCACTATGTCATCCACATACACAATTAGAAAAGCAATTTTCCCTTCACCTTTCTTCACAAATAGTGTGTGATCTGACTGGCATTGTTTGAACCCCATCTGTTGAACTGCTAAGTGGAACTTACTAAACCAGGCCCAAGGAGATTGTTTCAGCCCAAATAAAGATTTTTTTAACTTGCACACTTTCTGTTCACTGCCTTTGGCACAAAAACCTAGAGGTTGGGTCATGTACACTTCCTCTTCCAAGTCACCATTCAAGAAAGCATTTTTGATGTCCAATTGGTGAAGTTCCCAATCAAGATTTGCCACCAGTGAAAGGAGAATTATGATAGAGTTCATCTTGCCTACTGGGACAAAAGTCTCTGCATAGTCCACTCCATATACTTATGTAAAACCTTTTGCCACCAGTCTGACCTTATACCTTTCAACAGTTCCATTAGCCTCGTGTTTCACTGTGAAACCCACTTGCACCCTACTGGTTCCTTCCCTTCAGGAAGATCCACCAACTCCCAAGTGCCATTTTTGTGTAATGCATCGATCTCTTCCTTCATTGCATCTGTCCATTCAGGTTTGGATAAAGCTTCTGCCACATTCTTAGGAACGGGGATACTATCAACAGAGGAGAGGAATAAATGATATGAAGATGAAATATGATCAAAGGACACGAAGTGAGAGATAAGATGATTAGTGGTACAAGATCTAACACCCTTTCTCTTAGCAATAGGAACATCAAGATCATTAATGATAGGGAAATCAACATTAAGAGGAGTAGGCATATCAATAAGAGCAAGTGAACCTGGCTTATGAGAAGGATCAACCTCCGGTGAAGCCGATGTTGTTGCTTGCATAGTGTCGGGTTCTACGGCTCTTGAAAAAGACGGAATGGAGGAGGATCAGGAAGAGGAGTTAATTGAGTCTGAGCCTGGGTGTGTTTCTCCTCAACCCTACTCTCCCCCTAAGGAGAAACCGAGAAGAAAGGTTGATTCTAAAAGGACACGTCGATAGAGACATAGTACTTACAAGAGGCGGAATCATAGCACCGATACCCCTTATGAGATAGAGGGTAACCAAGTAAGACACAAGGAATAGCACGAGGATCAAGTTTACCCCGAGTAGGTGACAAGTTATGAACAAAGCAACGACACCCAAAAACACGCATTGGAATGGAGAACAGTGGAGCTGTAGGAAACAAAAGCTGATGTGGGGCCTTATACTCTAGTAGCCGAGATGGCATACGGTTGATGGATGTACTTAGCACACAAAAACAACATCCATCCAAAAGCATTTCGGAACATTCATATGGATTAACAAGCCACTTCAAGAAAATGACGATTTTTTTCTTTCAGCAACACTGCTTTGTTGGGGTGTCCTAGCACAAGAGCTTTGATGAAGTGATCCACTCGAAGCAAAGAATTCCATGAGATCACTATGGAAGTATTCCTTTGCATTGTCCGACTAGAAAATATGGATTTCAGTTTGGAACTGAGTGAACACCATGCGTTGAAAGTCTTTMACAATTTTAGGCAYTTCMTCTCTAGATCGCATAGGGTAAACCCAGGTGTATCTAGAGTAATCATCGACCAAGGTAATGAAGTACTTATATCCATCCTAAGTAGGTAGAGTAACAGAGCCCCAAACATCAGAATAAACAATATGAAACGGAAATTCAGATCTTTTATTTCTCAAAGGAAAAGAGCTTCTACAATGTTTACTCAATTGACATGTCTGACAATGCAACTGACTCACTGACAAAGACTCAAACAGCTTTGGAAACAAAACTTTTAATGACTCAAAAGAAAGATGACCAAGACGACTGTGCCATAAATAGGCTTGACACTCACTGGACGAACTTAAGGACTCTGTCTCCACAAGACCAGCTTTATTCTCCAACGCGTAGAGACCATCTACCATGCTTCCTCTACTAATCATCTTCCCCAAGGCCAAATCCAAAAACACACATGAAGACGGATAAAAAGTAACTAAACAATTCAAGGAGTGAGTAATACTACTAATGGAAAGCAAATTTATACGTAATTTAGGAACATGTAGTACATTAGAAAGGGTAAGGCCAAGTGGGAGATATATGGTTCCTTGGCCGGCTATGGTGGAAAAAGAACCATCAGCTAGTCTCACCTTATCTCTCTCAGAGAGAAGATTGTATGCTTGAAATAAATTTGACTGACCGGTCATGTGGTATGAGATGACACATGGAAGGCAGTGGCAGTGTTACCTTATACAGACGCAACAGAGGTAGGAGTAGGACCAGAATCCATCGGGCGAAGTGTCCTACCATATAACTCCAAATGGTCACGGAAAGAGTTGATGATCTCTTCCTTAGGGTCAGAACTGGGATGCCTTTCCTAAGTTACCATGGGACCAATCTCTTGAGATGTCATATTAGCTGAGTTATACTTTTTCTAATTCTGCTGACATGGTTTCTTGCCCTGATCAATTGTTGACTTCTTACCCAAATCCTGTGCCCATTTAGGTTTTCCATGGAGATCCCAACATGCATCTCTAGTGTGTCTTGTCTTCTAGCAGTGAGTGCACCAAAGCTTACTCTTATCATATGTTCTCTTCTGAGAGTCACCCTTCTTAAAACCACCTCCAACATTAGTATCTGAACTTCCCTAGACAGCTAGGGCAACTGGCTCCCCCTCTATACAATTCATCACATTTCTTCTACTCTCTTCTGGCTGAACCAAGGCATAAACCTCCTGAACTGATGGCAAGTCTTTACTTCCCAAGATCTGCACCCTGATGGACTCATGAAGGATTCAGCCCCAAGAGGAAGGCAAATACCCATTGTTGAGATACAAGTGATTTGTATGCCTTTGCATCTTCATCACACTTCCAGTTAACATTCTGATAGTGATCAAGTTCTTTCCATATCGATTTTAGATCTGAATAGTACACCGAGAGGCTCCTTTCCCCCTGCTTGCAAATGGACAATTCAGCTTGCAATTGGTATATCTTGGCATAGTGTCTCTACTCTGAATAGGTGGACTTTGCTTGTTACCATATTTCACAAGCAGTTTCAGCTCACATAAAAGTTTTTCTCACCTGTGGCAGCATGGAAACCAAGAGCCATGACATCACCATACTATTTTCCTGGTTCCATCTATCATATTCAGCACTTCCGCTCTTCAATTCCTTCACTTTCCCATTGATGTATCCTATTTTTCCCCTAGCAGTGATGTAGAGTTTTATTCCCCTAGACCATTCAAGGTAATTCAGACCATCAAAGGGAATAACAGCCATGGGGAAACTCATATCCATTCCCCCACTCACTCCATTTTGACTTCCAGAAATCCCTAAAGTAGCAGAATTCTCAGACGACATGGTCAACACAGAATTTTTTTTATCTAACACCTCAACTTAGGATCCCTCCTTATATCAAAACAAAAGGCTCCACACACAACAAGTGATCAGTCCACACACACTTCAGTTTTTTGGACTTAATCTGTCCACAACACCAGCACCTATTTCCAAAAAAAATAATATGACAAATCTGATTTTCAGACCTGTACGGAATAACAGTCCCAGCCTACTAGTTTTTTTTTTCCAGAAGGTCTACAAGCATTAATCACAAGGGGAGATCCTTACACACAAGACATCAAGCAAACAAGTAGAGAAAACAGGTCATACGTGACCTACAGCCACCTTTCACAGGTACAGGATCACACGATCCAAAACAAACAGAAGTAAAAAACCTCACAAGGGTTTGCCGACATTCAGTGGTTTATTCGTTTTCCTCTTGGTACACGACCAAGGGAAGAAAGAAACACAGGAAAAAAAGGGGTGGTACCAGTTGCAGATCTGATTCGATCAGCCCAGATTTACTCCTCTGATCCACCCAGATTCAGCAGCTTGGAGAAGACACTTGATCGCCCAGATTCAATGGCCATGCTCTGATACCATCTTGACAGTAAATCCGATTGAAGATTACAGCAGAAGAGAGGAGAGAAGAGAAGAAGGAAGAAAGGAGAAGATTTAGAGGCAATGGAACTGTGCTGGCGGCGCCAGCTTCATTATAATATATAGGGCAAAAAAAATAAGAAGGGAAATGACCCTTGTGCCCCTACTAAGTAAAGTTACAATAACAGATTAAAATAAAAAAAATTTAATCAGCCAAACAGACCCTAACAAAATAAAATCAATTATTTCAACAAGGTTCAGGTCTAAAATCCCTTGTGCCCCTTAGGCTGTATTTGGTTTGATAGAAAATAAGAAAGAAAACAGAAAGTTGAGAGAAAGTTATTCAGGAATTTCACAAAATTAGTTAAGAAATTCCCTTCATCTTTCTGTTGCTCTGATATTTTCTATCAACCCAAACATTACATTAGAATCACCCCCCAGCATGTTATCTCTATGATTTAGTTTTATCCCCAACCGTAGGCCATGGAAAACTGCCATGAGTTCTGCTCTTCTACAGTCCCCTACACCTTAAGCTCCCGACTATAAAGCCAATATCAGACCCTCTCAGTTTCTGAATATTCCACTTATTCCAAAATTACCCTTTATGCCAGAATTCCCAGATTTCCTTCCTAAGCCGCACCCATCAAAGTTCATCTTTGAAAACTAGGCCCTAGAGGGCTTCCACTGGATATTTACTCAAGTTCTTAATGTCAAAGGTGCAGCCACAACTTGCCAGTTCTGGATGATATCATTGGTAGAAAAGAAGTAAAATTAGGCAAACTTCTCACTCAATGAACCACCCTCACTATAGTATTTCCCACCAATGTGTCTACCAGAAAGCTTTATGGTGTATTTCCTCCCTATATGCCCAACACAAAAAGACAAGCCTTCTGTACACATATATAGGACATTGCCAGTTAGCTCACTAAGAGAAGCTCTTACTTCACCTGATATGGACACCTATTTCCATATGCATGTATAGATACTTCAATTGGTTCCTTATAATGTCATATATAGGACAATATGGGGTCGACTACATGAATCCTGTTTCACCAATCCACTTTATTTAATGTCATATCCACTCTCAAACTATCAGTGCTTAAATCAGGTCATGCTACTTCTGCCCATGTCCTTTTTTATCTACCACTAGCCCTCCGAGCCCCTTCAACTTGAAACAAATAACTTCTTCCAACTAGTGCTCTTGATGGTCTTCCATGCACATAACCAAACCATCTTAGTCTACTTTCTCTCATTTTATCACCTATTGCAGCTACTTCTAGGTTACTACAGATGACTTCATTCCTCATCCCATCCTTTCTAGTTTTTCCACTCATCTACACGGGAATATGGATCCCGTTTTGTCCTTGAAAACAAATATGAAACTATAAAAGTTTGACAGACATAATAAATAGAGAACCGGTTTTTATCACATCCTATGAATAACTTCATTTCTGATCCCCTCCTTTATGGTACGTTTGGTTGCTGCGATTGGGATGGGAAAATGGGAATATTCCCATTAGATTCCCATTTTCACGTGTTTGTTCGCTGGGATGGGATGGGAAACCGTGGGATGTTGGTTCTCAAAACCAAGGATGCAGGATCGCGCTGAAATGGTGCGACCCCAATGAAAAGAGAAAATTGTGAGAAAAAAATGACAAGACTTTCAACAGAAGCTTCGCAGCCGTCCTCTCACCGTCTCTCTGCATCTACAGCAATCATGTCTCTGGCAGCATTCTCGACAATATCCGACCAAGATAAGACCAGATCCATGACCATAGAATAAAGGCGACTATATTCTTCACGTTTTTGGCATCATCGATCTCCTCATGCCGTCGAGAAAACATGGTCGTTCGTCGGCTAAAATCCATTGTTTATGGCGGTATAGAGGTAGATGTTTTACAGATCTACACTTGTGCTTGTAGAATCTTAAACGAACATGGTCGTTCGTCGGCTAAAAGCCATTGTTTCACGTTAAAATGCGCCAAGGTGTTTATGCCTTTTTCTGGGTTCAAACCTGCTTCAAGGTAAGAGTTTTCTTCCCTCGGATCAGTTTTTTCCCATGAGATATGTTTCACTTCCCTCAGATTTGTTAAACCAGATCCCAATTATTCTTTTTACTTTTTTTTTAGTTTTATAAGTTTTCTCGTTGGGGTGAAGATTGGAGGCACTGAGAACAACTCCAGATCTTGCTTCGCCCTTGTATCCTCTGCAACTTTGAAGGTGACAAACCCTTCCTACATGCTGCTGAAGTATTGATTTATAAATATATTATTATTTGTTAATTTTTTTCTGGGCATTCTTCTTTTACTAATGAGGGGGAGATTGGAACTCACCTCGTCCACGCCACTGGTTTCAGTTCGAAGGAAGATAATGAACAGTAATTTTCCCTTCTCAGCAATCAAACACCAGAATGCCAAAATGAGAAAATAAATTTTCCCTTCTCATCCCATCCCATCCCTTCTCAGCAACCAAACGGACTGTTAGTTCTTCCACTTTTTTTTCTCGGCATATGCATTTCTGCCACTCATTTTCTGGAGATGTTGATTCTTCACTGCCCAACACTCTGCTCCATACTACAAGGCTGGCCTCACAATTGTTTTATAGAATTTTGCTTTTTTTTTGATAGATGGAATTTTGCTTTTAATCTAAGTGGAAAATAAAATATTACTATTAATCATGTTTGCCATCACAGAATAACAAATAAATCAGCTCAAATCCACCACACAAAGGTCCACGATGAAAATACTTTTATTCAGGAAAGGATGTTATAAGAAGGATGATAAAGGAAGGCAAGGACTGTGTTTCGAAAAGATGAAACAAGACAAACCTTCTCGATTAAATCCAAGACATCTTGGTTGTCAATGAATTCAATGTAGCTCCAGTTAATTTCTTCATTGCTATATTCCTCCTGCTCCATCTTAAATACATGCTGACAAAAAAATTGAGAAAGTGCAATATCAGAACATAACCAAACAAAGGGTTAGGTCATCCCCCAAATATGCTGTCATCTTCGCTCACCTCATTGAAATGTTGCTGAAGCTTTTCATTTGCAAAATTAATACAGAACTGCTCAAAACTGACAAGTACAAAAAAAGAATCAATTTTTTTACCATTAAGTAGATAAGATTTTATTGAAACAGAAAAAGAATGAAAATCCCCAAAGAAATGAACACCCAATAAAACTCATACAGGAGGTAAAAAAAATACAAAAAGATGCCCAATAAGGCAATAACAAATAAAACCAAAGGTTTCTTCCCTCGGCCTACCTCATCTCCATCCATATCTGACACCCCAGTGGCCATCTCATTGGCTAAGGAGTTGGAATATCAAAGACACCACTAGGACAATGGAGAGAGTTGGCCTGAGACCAACCCTGTATTGAGTACAGATTTACCAGGTTTGGATTACTAACACAACTTGAATCCAAACGCATGTAAGATGTGGAGTATGTTTTCAGGGATCTTATTGAGATCAACATCAGATATGGGTTTCAGTTTAAGACCTATTCAGATCCTTTTTCATCAGCTATTCAGATCTAATGTATTTACAAAATATTAAGTTTTTATCTATCATATTTAAATATCAATAACAGTGTAAGTCCCGAATACAACCAGTGAACACCAAAAGTAAAGCAATTACAACACAGCCCAAAAAATAGAGTTTATGTTCACCCCTTGCCTAGCTAGACCATCTGCCAATAAGTTTGCACTTCAAACTTCTTAGGCATTACTAACATATCAGTGCTTCAAGGCCTTCCAAGTGCTTATACGTTTCATTTGTTTTGTTGGTATTTTAAGTATTCACTTGATAATAAAAATAATGAATTTTGACGTAATACTAGTTAAGTTAAAAAAACAAGGCCAGGCTTAAAAATAGCTCCATCCCAAATTCATGTAATTGTAGATTATCAGATCAAATTTGTGTTGGATCATATTAAATTGGATTGGATATGAATCCGGGTTGATGGATCCACATCAGATCCAAATCCAAATCTGGTAGGGCTTGAAATTTTCAAATCCAGACTCAGATTAAATTGGATCCACTCCAGATCTGACCCATTACATGACCGAAATAGCAATATGAACAAGATGTTCAGCCTCAATGAAAGTGACCTTAGCCTCTAAGATAAAATGGTGAAGTCAGATTAAGATTATCGAAGATATCCCATTCAAGGTACCCAGATAAAGAGTGTAGAGAACCAAAGGAAAGAAAATTGGAATGAATCCAATATTTAAGCAGAGCAGGAAAATCTACTTATCCATATGCATAAAATGGACTAAATTCCATTACAAATTGAAAATCGGTGGCAGAGGCTTCACACTGATTGGTTTCAGCAGTTTTAGACATTTAGGTCCACATAATGATATAATGAAAACACAACATGAAGCTCCCAACAAACTATGCTCACAAAACTAGTGGGAAGTAACAACAACGAAAATAAAAGGAAAAGTGAAGTACTTCACAATTACTAAAACAATGAGCCTAAGAATAAGTGTTTCTGTTAAGAATACTGCAAAACGCACTCCCTCAAAATAAAATACAGTGTAACATGAAAGCATCCACAAATGTGCGCATTTATCCACACAGAAGCATGCAAAAACATACCAAAACTCTAATAAAAACTATAAGACACACAAAAGATACGGAGACAAGTTAACAACTACAACCAAAATGATTCAGTTGGCTACAACAGCTGAAAAATTAAGCTGTTGTTTAGAAGTTTGAAGTCTGATCCCTCTGAGTTCTGATTAGAGATGTTTTTTTTTTTTGATAGATCTGATTAGAGCTTATTTTTACTTGTTAACAGTCTGTATTTAAAGTCTTGTCATATTCACATTTCAGATTTGTTGATCAGAGTAGCAATTGCAGTTTACTCTCCTTGGGCATGGGAATAAGAGACTATTCTTGTCATTATGAGAGATTTTAAATGTTAAAAAGAATATAAAAGGCATATATTCGCACAATCAATAAGTGAAAGTGGTGATCCAATCACTTATTGGTCAGAGCAAAATTTTAGACGTAAGAGATTCTATCATAAGTGTAACCAAACAGACAAAAATGACCATATATATAATAAGTTTTAGACACAAATTGCAATATCTCAGCCATCTAAACACTACCTAAGTAGCGGGGGACACGAACTGAGCTTTTCACAAGCTATTTGAGCTCAGCTCGTAAAAAGTTCAATTTGGCTCGCTCTATGCCAAGCTTCGAGCTGAGCTCAAGCCCAATATATAGAATCATTTGCTAATCGAGCCAAGCTCAAACCTGATGAAGTTCAGCTCGTGAAGCTCGCGAAACTAACCAAAGTTATATTATATATAACATTTTTAAATTTTACAAGTATAATTTTTAATTTTTATATGGATAATTTTTTACATGTATAATTTTTAATTTTTTTACGAAGCTTCGCTCACTATTGAGCTCAAACCAAGCTCGAAGATATGAGCTTTTGAGTCGAGTCAAATTCAAGCTCATGTTTCTAGCATAAATCGAGCTCAAGCCCAAAATCGAGCTTCATATATTTTCTGCTAAGCCAAGCTCGAATAGCCAGATATTTGGCTCAGCTAAGAAAATCAACATGAAAATGCAATAAAGTAATGAAAACCTATTTTATTTAAAGGGAACTGACCTGTTATTTTTGAAGCACTCAAAACCATAAATGTCAAGAACTCCAATTTGTATGCGGGAATCCATATCTTGTCCCACAGACCTATTTATCTTGTCAACCAGCCTGAAGCAAACATTTAAAACAAATAACAAAATATAGCCAAGAGACACATATTTGTCAAAAAGCAAACACAAAGAAACATGGTTCCTGAAGACGCACTCAAAATAAGCATACCAATCAAATAACCGAGCATATACAGTCTTCGCCAAGGCATCACGACTAGCTAAAGCAGCATTACAATCAAGAGCTTTAACAATACTCCCTTCACGAGTCTGAATCAAACGTGTGCATAGTGATGCAAGCAGAAGGTTAGCATCGCACCTGAAATGATTAAAACTTAAAATAGGTTAACAAGATAAGCAACATATAACAGCTACTATGACAATAAATAGAGCTAATGACATACCAACATCAATTAGAAAAACAAATGCATCAAAATAACAACAGAAAAAATGGTCCAATCCCATGATCATGATCTGATAAGAAGGGAAGAAAGGATTTGACTCTTATAATTAGTTGTCAAGTCCTTAGACCAAGGGAGCATGGACGCCCTGCTACCATGCAAGCAAAGAAGCCAATAAGTTGGTCTAGATGATGAAAATCTTATACTCCAAACGTGACAGATCAGACAATTCACTTGTCTAAATTTCTAAGGGAATCTTCTTATTTGTGGCGAAACTGTCCTGTTGTATATTTCCTCCTTTTTAAATAAACTAAAGGTCGTTACGCAATGTTGGGGATGTAGGACGAGGTAGGGGTCCTACTAATTTAGGATCTGGTGATGCGTTTTGTGTAGGTGAATAAGGATCGTGGGTGATCAAGGTGAAAAATATGAATGGAGAAGCCGGTAGAATGCTTTTTGTTAGTGTAATCAGCAAATAGGTCACTTAAAAGAAAAAAAGAGAGAGGACAAGAAGAAGACAAAACTTCTGGCAACAACCAGAATTCACTAATCTCTGTTTCCTCCAATCAACTCCCCTTGAACTCTAATTACAATGACTATTTATAGACTCAACTTATTAACTAGGATGTCCCTTTACAAACTCCAATTTGGACTAGGAAATTGACCCAAAACAACTCCCAATTGCTTTAAAACTAAGATAAATCCATAATTAACCCATTAGGACACTTAATAAGAACTTCAACTCCTAAACAACTCCAACAAAGTTTCCTAATCCTATTAAAACTAACTTAATTTAAAGACACCAGAAGTTACAAAAATAGTAATCCATGAATTTACTAAAAATAGTAATTTCGAGAGTTACTAGAAATAGTAAATCCAAGAATTACCACAAATAGTAATTTCGAAATAAAAATCTAAACAACAGAAACATGTTCTTAAGACACCAACAACTAGAAAATAAATGAAAAAAGAAACAGAAACAATACCAATATCCTATAACACATAAACTCTGAAATTGGAATAGAAATTGGGATATTGGTTTGTTACATCACAAATTTTTTTGTTGCTTCTGCCTCCGCATCAGTTGGCCCCAAAAAAAAACAAGTATAAGTCTTACTATGGACCAAATAAGAAACCCATAGCAGATAAAGGGGACAGAAAGAAGAATTATAAGGATTTCAAATCTGAAATATAGAAGAAAATGGAGAGAGGAAAAAATAGATTGCAAGGTGAGAAGTGAAGTAAAAGTCCCACAACCACAACTACCTAAATCGCAAATAGTACTCAGCAAATCAACTTTAAAATTTCAATTCCAATGACTCCCTTGACACTCAACACAAGGGCTGAAATTTCCCTTTACACACTCCAACTTCAACTAGGGAACAACCAAAACAACTTCTAACTTGCTAAAAAGACTAGAATAAACTAACCATCTATAGATACATGAGAACAAGGACAGACTCTTCAAGCAACTCTAATAACCTTCCACTAGTTCTAGTACACTAAACAAATCAAAAATAACCCCAAGATAGACAAAGCAAATAGTAAGACCAAATCATGTCATAACTTTCTCAAAATATGTTGGATTTGTATGATTTGTCCTGTTGGATACATAATCAGTGACCTATATAACTACACCATAACACCAAATCAAGCAAACAGATAAAATTCAACCCCTGAGAAAAAATGACAAGATTGTTAGCCAAAAAAAATGAAAAGAAAAAATGACAAGATACGAACATCAACTTTTTAAAATTCTAAAACTCACTAATACTAATAAGACACTTTAAACTACTATGCCCCTGACCAGATTCCTAGAACAACAAAGTGATCAAAAAATAACCATTAAAAAGCCAATGTGACCAATATATATTTGATAAAGAATTAAGAGGAAGCTGATTTCTTCTCCACAGATTTTTCCCAGTTGACAAATATGCATCACCAGCAATCCAAAAATTTGTCGATGTAAAAGTATAAATATAAAAATTTACAAAATGAGTGCAATCCATTAGCCCCAGAAAGATTTACAAAGAACAACCCTCTATACACAAAACAGCTAGCAACTAAAATCTCCTTCTAAATGATTTGACCACTTCACTGCCAACAGCATTCCATTAAAAATGAAAAAGATAAAGAGAGCCACAAAATCATATAGAATGTTCCAAAGCCATAATATAGTCCCTCAAGAACCAATAGAACAAGCAGTTCGGAAAAGGACTAAATACATAGTGGGGAGGCATACCCACTCAACTCCGAAAGAGCAGGAAAAAACACATGTGGATCATGCAAAAGAGCAATGGAGAAACAAGTCACTCCTTTGCCCTATGACACAAGACAAATTTGTTAAGAATGGGAATTACTCTACTATTAAGGTAGTTGATAGCAAGAGTTTTGTCCAATGAAACAAGCCAAATCAAAGCTTCCTATTTTTGTCCAATGACTCATTTTTTCCTTTTTAGTGAACAGAGTGGCTAAGGATTTCTTTCCTGCTAAAAGGGGCCTCATACAAGGAGAACCTATGTCACCCTTCCTCTTTACTCTAGTAGCTGATGTACTGAGTGATTTGATCTCACGGGCCAATGCTGAATATGATAGAGGTTAGAGAGTTGGGAGGGAGGAAGTGGTAGTCACACATCTTCAGTTTGCAAATGATATTATATTAGTTCACCATTTTGAGAGACTTTCCAACCTTAAAGCAAAGTGGGGCAAGAGCTATGTGGCGGGTGTGAATCTGGGGAGGGGAGAGGTGGACAGTCTAGGTAGAGTTTTGGGATGTGAGGTAGGGGGAATGGCCACTGCAATATTTGGGACTACCACTGGGAGGAAATCCTAGTGCACACATCTCCTGGTACCCAGTGATTGAAAGATTTACTAAGAGGCTTGAAAATTGGAAAAGAATCTACACTTCGTTGGGGGGGTAGGGTAACTCTGATCAAAGCTCCCTTGGCCAATTTACTGGTTTATTTCCTGTCAACCTTCAAAGTACCAGTAGAAGTGGCAAACCAACTAGAGACGATTATGAGATTTTCTGTGGGAACCAGGGGACACCAAGAAGGATGAAGGATCAACTAGTGAAGTGAAATGAAATTCCTTGGCATTATGGGCTACTGCAAAACATCACTTCACCTTGGCTGAATCATGTTTATTTTGAGAGAAGATAACTTTAGGTTCAAAAACAAAAAAAAAAAGGAGCAGGGGGAGGGGGCAATGTACATGAAAGATGTACAAAAAAAGCAAAAGACGCCAAACCCATTACAATGGTAAAGGATTTGCACTATGCAAAACACTTCACTCTATCCCCGATTTAAAAAGAGAGTTAGCTAAAGTGTTCAGATCCCTTGGAACCCATCTAAAAGAACAAGAGAAGTCATTAGAGATCTCCCAGATCTCATTCAACAGATGAGCAAATAACCAAGGGCCCCAAAAATGGTTGGAAACGCATCCAATCACGTTCCTAGAGTCTGCTTCCACCAACAGCAATCAAGCATTAATGAATTCGGCCAGGCTTAAGCCAATGAGAATAGCTCTAGTTTCAGTTTCTGAAGAGACAGCAATGCCAATAGGCCAACTGAAAGCCTAAACAAGATTACCTCTTGCATCATATGTGTCCCTCAACCCCTGCAGAACCCTTGTGGCCATCACAAGCAGGCCTTGTATCAGAGAAATTCTGGATCCGATAGGTAGGACCTGAAGCATGTAAGGTCTCAAAGAAATTACAATTCATCTGATTGAGACTAACACCTTGGAGGACTGGAGTGTAAAAGACCATCCAAGAGGCTGTAACTTCAAAATTTTTCCTTTTGAAATCTTTCCAAGAGCAGGATCTCTAGTTTCATTTTCCCCAAAGATCTCAAATAAATTTTTACTTTTGATCATCCAAGAGAAACCTCGAAGATTCTCATGCTTAATTTCCCCCAAATACATCACATCCCTGAATAAATGTCTCCAAAATAACTAGTAATGTCCTTGGTTGAAAAATCAGTCTACTTGCGTATACAGCAATTCCATCAATCTCAGCTGGCTGGCATCCTTAAAAGAACTTTCATCAAACTTTAATCAGATCTCCCCATCAAGCACAAGGAAAGAGCACAATGGTCAATGGCCAACATGAATTCTTAAATCCCACCAAACCAAAACAGAGATGCAACCACAACCAAAGGCCAACCGGTAAGGATAAAGCCAAAAGACTTGAGGAGCATAATAATGCACCACTCTAGCTGTGACATTCTCAAAGTCTTGATGATGGAGAGAGAATGCATCAAATAATTGGTTGGGGCATGATTCTACTTCCCATGTACAGCTTTACCGATTTGCACTGGCATATTGATCAAAAAAGGTGAAAGATACATGCTTCGACTAGGATGGTATAGAAAATCCAAGAACCACCAAAAAATAATAATGTAAGCATTTAAATTACAACCATGTATTTTTATGAAAAAGGTAAGGTATAAATAAATCACATACATACATAATAAATTAGGTACATACATAAATAAATTAGCAGCCATCTGAAGATGAAAGCTAGACTTCTGATCCTTAATAGTTGATGAATCATGCTCTTTTCCGGGAGAAAATTCAATATTTCCCAGATGAAGAATGGCAGCCAGGGTGCGAAATATGGCTTCCTGAGAATTAAAAAGGGAAACATAAGATGAAGGCATACAACATAATAATTACAATCGAACAGACACCAAGGACAAGAAAAGAACCCTATAACTAAAACAGAACAAGAAAAGTATAGTTAAAAACCTGATCATCAAGACTTATACCAACAATATCCATCGCCCTCCTTGTCTTCATGTATTCCTCTGCATTGCTCACTCCATCTAAATCATAGGTCTTACTTTGGTTCAAGTAGTAGAACTTGCTTGGAGTGTCTAGTTTGTACTTCTCTGCATCCTAAACATACAATGCGATAACATTTTAACAAAATCCATGAAAATGAATAACTGGCCAATATGGCACAAGGACCAAATTAAGGGCATATCTTAGATCTAATTATAATATCATTTGATCTACTAAGCACAAAAAATGGAGGAATTAAAAAAAATATATCAAGTTGTAAAGCTTGTCAAATTCAACAAAGAAAGGCAGGGGCCATTACTTGTTGCAATAAAATTATAAATTATTCATGGGAATTCTCTAAAGTAGGCAGGGGCTATTACTTGGTGTGATGGTAAAATCTCAGGTGGGCAGGCATGATAACATAGATTCGAGTCTGAGAGAAGCCACATTGTGCAAAAAAAAGATGCAAAAGATTAGGACTGTATCCAGTACACCGTCCCAAAATACCAGATAGCTGGGACCAACATTGGATAATGGCCTTTAATTGTCTGAAGATAGATTAAACAGTAAACAACCATGACTAATCATATTCTACAAGTTATAACTTCGTAAATGGCCAAATATTATGCTATCATTCTTTGTCTCTTCAAAAACAACAAAGAATGAGGAGGGCTTTGTGATGGTAGAATGGTAAGGATTTGCAAGGAAATATTAGCTCATAATCCTCCTAATATAAACAAAGCAAGGGGTGCCAGGGGTAGAACTGCAATTGCATTTCCTTTTTTATCACCCTAATATAAACAAAGCAAGGGGTGCTGCCAGCTAAGAATTTGGCACACCAACCTCTCTTCCTTTTTTCTTCTCTTCAGTGTACGATCAGATCTCGAATGAAAACATGGTATCAGAGCTGAACTCTGGATGAAAGTAACCTCTTTTTCTCTCGTAATCTTTTTGTTTCTCAACCAGAGTTTTTTTTTCTGGGCTGTGAAGAGGAGAACATCTAATCGGACTGGTCAAACCTCCAGATCCTTCTTCCATTTGGTTTCTACCTTGGTGGTAACACCAAGGAGACCTGTTTTTAGTGACAGTAGAAGCAGTAAAAGGGGACTTTTGCCACCAAGGAGTGCTAAGAAGGGGTTGTGTGACACCTTCTTTAACAGGTATGCGTAGTTTCCTATTGCCACCTGTGGTGTGTGACCTGATGGTGATTACAGTTTGATTTTTTGGTCTGTTTTAGTTACTGTTGGCGGAGTTAAGCAGATTCCCTAATGTCCGGGAAGGTAAATTGGCTTATTTTAGGGTTCATACCTGTTACTGTGAGTGGTAGAAGTGGGGCACAGACATTTTTTGTGCATCAATTGCCTTATTTGGTGTTTGTATAACCTGTCTAAATGGCAAGATATGATTCTGCCACTTCTAGGGTTACATCAACCCAAGGAACAGCAAGTATAGGGGCTGACAGCATGCTCTTTCCTATGCCAATTACTCCTTTAAATAGCCTGAATTATTTGGAGTCATCTAAGGGTGTAAAACTCTATGTTACTGCAAGGGGAAAGGCTGGATATACCAATGAGAAGATAAAGGAACCTAAGAATGGAACTGCTGAACATGAAAGGTGGGACCAAGAGAATAGTATGGTAATGTCTTGGCTTCTTATAGCCATGGAACCTGTGATGTAAGGAAGAACTTTAATATGTGGGCAGCCACTACTAGTGAAATTTGGGAACAAGCTAAAACAACATATTCTGAGCAAATAGATTATGCAAAGATTTATCAGTTACAAGTTGAATCCTCAACTAGTAAACAGGATGATCATAGTATGTCGGCATATTATTCAGCTCTTACTTCAGCATGGAAGGAGTTAGATTATTACCAGAGTATAGAGTGGAAGCATGATGATGATGCTAGGACTTATAAGAAGCTAGTCTCTCAGCAGCAGGTTTTGGCTTTCTTGTTGGGGCTAAATCTTGTGTATGAGCCCCTCAGAGTTCAGATCTAATGAAGCAGTGAGTTGCCTTCAATCAGAAAAGTGTAAGCCTTCATTTAGTCCGAGGAAAGTAGATGAAGTGTGATGGCTACAACCAAGGGGGAACAGCAGATGGCTTTGGCTGCAAAAGATAGCAATAATGTGGTAAAGAAGAGTGAGTTCAAGGAGCTTAGTCATGAGGTCTGGCCCAGCAATGAATTCTTATAAGTATACTAACAATGTAATAATGCTTTTGTTTGAGAAAGGTTGGATAGAGACTGGTCGCCACTGAGGGGAGATAGGGACTGGAAACACTGAGGTAGGAAGGGGGGAGAACTCAAACGTTTCGAAGAGCGTGCCCCAAAAAACTTTTCCTATAGCCGGGGAGGTCCTGATGCGAGAACCAGGAAAAGCTTTTCCTATAGCAAAGTGGTGGCAGCTGGAGCTTGGCCGGAATACAGTGCAGCAGAAATGAAAAAATGGGACAACTATCTGATGATTCTCACAGATCAGAAAGGGGTGGAAGATAGAAGAGAGTTCCTAAGAGGTTGCATTGTGGGGAGATTTCGGTGGGGAATAGGGATTAGAGAAGTAGAGAACTGGGTGAAGAGAATGTGGAGGGAGGTGGGAGGTGTAAAGGTAAAGAAAACGGCAGACGAACTTTTCATGTTCATTTTCCCGTCGAAAGCTGAAGCCAAATAGATCCTCAGAAACGGCCCGTGGCAGTTGGGAAGAAACCAGATACTACCCGATTGGTGGGGGGCAAGCGCAGGCTGTTTCCATCCAGAATCGGATTCAGATTCTGTCCATAAAAGTCCAATCTGGGTAAGGATTTATGGCCTCCCCCTAATCCTCTGGTGCCCGAGCGTGATTAAAGCTATCAGAGATAGGTGTGGAGGATTCCTAGAAACAAACGACTCACCATTGGAGCTAGCTACCTGTGAGTGGATCAGGATGAAGGTGCAATGAGGTGAAAATCTACCGGAGAAAGTAGAAGTTGCAGTGGGCGAGGTTCTCTTCAGGATCAGAATTTGGCCTGAGATCCTCCCGACTACTAGATGGAACCTATTGAAATCGGGGAGAGAAACAAAGGATTCCAAAACCATTATTCTTGAAGATGTGGAGGAGAGTCAGTCTTCAAAAGAAGATGTGAGAGAAGCAATGATCAGCTTCCCTATGCCAAAACGAGGAAGGTCACAAAAGTCTTAGTCGCTGGTGAAGGGGAGGAGGAAGAAGAAGAAGTGGGGAAAACAAACCGTCAGATCTGTACGCAGATGGGCGGTCGAGATGAAGGATCAGGAACACCAAAAGAGGGGGAGATTCAAATTTTAAACATATCTCAAGAAAGGGGGCTTATGGCAGTGGACCAATTGAAAAGTCTAATTAAGGAGTGTGTTGAAGAGATACAAAGGAGGAATGGAGTGGGGGACAAGCTAGCAATTACAGAGGAAAGGAGACAGGTGTCAAAAGGGGAAATCCAGGCCTACCCGAACCCAGAGGAGCAGACCCAGACCCGCGATCCACATCGAAACCATCTAGTTACCCACCCGACGCGTAAAAAAGTAACCACCCAAGCTGTGAAGGCTCTAAGTGAGCCCAGATTTGCTCAGCGAGAACAGGACAAGAGAGACCAGGTTCTTTTAGGGCCCCAATGGCTCAGCTAGCCCCAAAGAAGATCTAGGAACTTTTCTTCTCTAGTTGATCGAAGGCCCTTTCCTCTTTCCCTCAGGTTGGAGAACATAGAAGGAAGCGGATTTGCTTCCTCTTTCCCTCAGGTTGCAAAGATTTATCTGCCCAATGATGACTTCAAACCAGCTATCTTTAGTCAGGGTGGAAGAGGAACCTGTGGAGGTGCAGCCGATAGCCATGATTGAGTCAACGAACCAAAAGGAGAACCAGTCTGTCGCTCAAGAGAGAGAGAAATTGATGACTAAGCTAGGTAACAGCCATAAAGAAAACAATCGGGTTATTGGAAATACACCACACAACATCAACAAAGGAAAAGTTGTAACTTCGACGACACAGGTAAGATAAGAGCTCTAAACTCTCTTCCTCCTCTTCTTGGCTTTAGGAAATTTTCTAGCAGTTTCATTGGAGGGTCTGGAAGATGAAACAACTAAATTTTTCAAGGGGATTGAGCACAAGATTCTCATGGAAAGGGGAAAATTAGCAGCAAAAAAGGGGGTACTACTTCCAAAAAAAATAGGGAAATGAAGAGATTAAATTGGGGACTGAATGATAGGGTGGGGAGCTACAAAGGGGGGGCAAGAGGAAGTAAGAAATAGAAAGGAGGTGGATATTCTTTTTTCTTCTTTCTGGTTATTTGTTGATGGATCTAAAAATGGTATCTTGAAACGTTAGAGGACTGGGGTCGGGTAGAAGGAGGTTGGTAGTGTGTGATGTTGTAAAAAAAGCCAAAACTCAAATTCTTTTGCTCCAAGAGACTAAGCTGGAATAGATGGATGTAGCAATAGTTCAAAGTATTTGAGGGGAAGGTCAGGAGAGGTGGAGGTCCAAGTCGGAAAGCGGCAGTGCTAGAGGCTTGGACATCCTTTGGACCCAATCAGTGTGTAAAGTGATTTCACACAGGTTACGTTCTTTTTCTATTTCTCTTCTGCTGGAACTTGCTAACGGAAGCTTATGACAAGTGACAAATGTGTACGGTCCTACAGAAACAAGCCTTAGAAACCTGTTTTTGGAAGAATTAGCAGAGCTGAGAGGCTCTTTAACCTGACCTTGGGTAATTGGAGGGGATTTCAATCAGAATGCTTCGATTGTTGACTCTTACACCTTCTCGGGTAATGAGGTGCATGGGCTCCACATTTCAGAAGAAGTCTTTTTGATTGGGAAGTGGAAGAAGTTATGATATTGTTGGAAATTCTACAAGCTTAAGAGTATTGACTGTAATCAGAAAGACCAGTGGACTTGGAATTGGTCTAAAGAGGGTAGCTTCTCAGTAAAATCAATGGCCAATAAACTTAATAGTAGAGCTGCAGTGAAGGATTTTCCATCTAAGCAGATTTGGAATTCAATTAGTCCCCCAAAAGTGAACTTCCTTGTCTGGACTATGGCCTTAAATAAATGCCTGTCCAGAACCAGCCTAGAAAGAAGAGGCTTGCAGATCCCTGATGACTCTTGTGCTCTTTGT